AGATCAACATGAATCAAATCAAAGCTAGTACAACTTTTGATACTACTAGATGGAAAAGTAAGTCGAGTCTGTTTTTCATAGGGACATACTAAACATTTGGAAACTTTACACATACTATTGATATTTAAATCAAACATCTTAGCTAGTACTACAGATGACACATGTCCAAGCCTTTGATGCCACAATTCCATATCAGATGGGACTTGTGCTACTGTCAATGAAGTATTTTGTTCATCACCTCCAGAACTTTGTGTATACAGACACCCTGCTTCTTTACCAACCACTCTCACTTTCCCATTGTAAAGCTCCTGAAGAACACAGAAGTTAGGGAAGAATGTAACTGAACAATCAAGTTCCTTTGTTAACTTACTCACAGACATCAAGTTATATTTGAATTCAGGTAAGTAAAATACATTGGAGATAACACTCTTGTCTGTTAAGGCACAAGAACCAACATGAGTAACCTGAGTAGTACCCCCATTAGGCAGATGTACGATTTTAGGAATCTGTAATTTTGACACAGAACCTTTTATAAACATGTCCATCTGAGAAACCATATGGTTTGTTGCACCAGAGTCTACAATCCACACTTTATTATTCTCAGAAACAAACAAGGATTTACCTGCAGTGTGAGCAGCAAAAGTAGTATTGCTCTCAGATGTTGCAGGGCCTTGGTTCTGTGTGAGACCTCTAAGAATATGGTCATATTGTTCCTTTGTGAATGTACAACCCTTCAGTAATTGTATCACATCTATTTCTGCTTGACTTGCTGCTTTAGAAATGTTATTACCATCCACTCTTCCATGCTCACTTTGTGCAGTAGCAGACTTCAGATCCCATCCTGCTTCATGCACATTAGTATTCAAGCCATAAGAAAAATGAGCCTGACCTGGACCAGAATTGTTGGAGCCTGAAGGAACACCACCTTGAACCTTCCTTTTGGACTTGAAATCAGGAGGATACCCCACAATTTTGTAGCAAAATTCTTTACTATGACCCTTACATTTACAGAAATAAAAAATGAGAAGAGAGTTCCTTTTAAACCTCTGATTCACTCCTGAAGTAGAACCAGCAGTAGATGATTTAGAGTACATGGCCATAAAATCCATACTCTCAGAACTCAGCCCCATATTGCTAATATGTGAAATCACAGCTTTTTGACTCTCATCCCTTACTACCATAGCATAAGCATGATTGACAGTTGGTAAGGGATTCATCATTAAAATTTGACTTCTAGCCTGATGATATGACTCATTAAGCCCCATTAAAAACTGATACAATTTCTGTCTGCTCAAGTGGTTTACAAACTCCTTCGACTTAGCACAATTACATCCAGGAGAAGGAACTACAGCCTCAAACTCATCCCACAAGGTCTTGAGTCTGGTGTAATACACAGAAACAGAAGCAGTCCCCTGTTGTAGTGATACAATGTCTTTATGAAGACTATAGGTTCTCGAACCATCTACCCTGTCAAATCTTTCTTTTAAATCACTCCAAACATGAGAAGCATTTGTAGCAAAAGCAATTCCACTCAGTAAACTTTTCGACACTGAGTTCATCAACCAGGACAGTACTACAACATTCACTCTCTCCCATTGTCCCCACAATTCTTCACTAAACATCTCTTTACTACAGGTTCCATCAATTAACCCCAGTTTATTGCGTCCTAACAATGCTAGTGTAATCGATCTATTCCATAGAGAGTAGTTCTCAATTCCAAGTAATTGAAACGAAATAAGATTTACTCCACTTAAATCTGTAGGACTAAGAAAAAGAGGATGATTGTAATCAATACATTGGCCAATTACAAAATTAGGTATTTGCCTAACGTAAATATGGTTGAGCTTTCCAAAAAATTCATAGAGAATTCCACTTAATCCTTTTTCTAGGTTTCATTTTTTCAAGTCGTAGTTTAATTTAATTCGTTTCAACTTCCAATAAAAAAGACTCTTTTAAAATCCTCCATCTTCCCATATTCGTGTTGGAATTTAGGGTCCACTCTTTTAAAGTGAAAACCTTGATCCGTTATTAATTTAGGGTCTATATACTTTTTTGTTTTTGGTACTATGTAGTCACAATAAACAAAGTTACGTGACGAAACATATAACACAGATAATTAATAAAGGACTAGTAATTAGGCATACTTGATCAAAGACAGATAATAATAATAAAGAGCACACACACGATACTCATTATAACAAACGACACAGTTAGATGCAAAAGACACACTTAAAGTAAAACATCAAAAGCCTAAAGTAAAATATTTATGGTTCGATCAATCGAACATATAGTCGATGAAATACATCAACAATTCAATCTCAATTGCTTCAAGTAGAAGTAAACAGCCTGCGACCAGACTTGTAAGAAGCATAAGCATTAATGCAAGCAAACTCAACTTGTCCCTCATTAAGAACCCAATTGCTCTGCCTAACATTCTCCTCTATATTTGGCATATGGAGACCACAAAATAATTCAATTTTGAACGACAAGACCATCCTGGCTTCATATTCTTTGGAACCTCATCGTAGAGGACGCTCACTAGACTTGATGGCCTAAAACCAAACAATACATAAAATAATGAGACAAAAATAAAATCATTTGTTTCTTTCATATATAAAACTCATGTCAAATCAAACATAATCACCTAAAAAAGAACAAAGGTAATAAGTAACAGCTAGCTATACCTTGGATCCAGCCCTGCTTCATGAATATCATCACTTTTGTCTTAAAAAATATCAGCACATCTAGTACATAACTGAACTAAAATGAACTGAAACAGAATTAACACAAAACCTCCATTAACAAGGAGCTAAGATAGAAGAAGAGAAACTCTCATTGTTTGAGTTCAAAGACTAACTTTTACAATGCTGAAAAGTACTATTTATAGAATCTAACTTCTAATCAAACTAACTAACTAACTTGAAAGGAATTAGTTGTAACAAACAATATAAAAGGTCTATACTACCCTTGAGCATCTTGGTGAAATAACTAACTCCTTAACTACCTTACACTCATATCTCATCACTTACCAAACAAAATAGGGTAAATTTACATCCACTTATAATTTCATTAGTCACCTATTTTCAATTTGCAAAAAATCACCAACATATATCGCAAGTAACAATATAATATTATATAAATATTTCAAAAATAAAAGAAAATAAAAATAAGGAATTCAAAGAATTAATTACCTGACATAAAAAAAAATGAAAAAAAGGATTGATAAGAAAGTAATAGGTAGTTTTTTTTTAAGAGTTTGCTACACGCTCTAAGTTTATATTGTTGTGATAGTTTGTAATGAATGTCTTAAAGTAAGTATTGATCATACGTAATAAAAGCTAAAAATTGAAACTTTTATGAGCAGCATGGTGAGAATCAAAATGAAGATCCACTTAATTGAATTAATCAATTAATCATTGAGAACAAAAAGGAAATATCAAATTTATAAAAGTTTCAACTCTTTAAGGGGAAAAAATAAACTTTGTAAATTTGATTCTTTATAAGTTTTTTTTTGCGTGAATCTGAAAGTAAATTATTCGTTTCCATTTACAACTTGAAAAGTTCGGTGATCATAAAGGGATGAAAATGTGTGGTTAATTCATTTATTTGTCGCATGCAGTTTCTGAAAATAGAGAAAAGATTAAAAAAAATAAAAATGGAAAAGCATAAATAGTAATTGATAGAATGAAGACATACCTTTAAGGAAATAAAATAAGTGGCAATAATAGAAAGAGATATAATCATATACTAAATCCCAATATTAATGACGAAAGAAATATTTTCTTAAGTTTTTAGTTAAAAAAAAAGAAAAAAGGAAAGGAGATAAGTAGCGTTGCTTCCCAATGAGAAATTTCACCTCACTTCATTTTAATATCAGTCATATAGATATGTATGAGCTTAAAGTTTCTATAAAAGGAACCTTAAGTGGTTCAAATGGCGACAAACAGAAATCCGAATGGTGATTTAAATAAATGGCATCTAGGGGCAATACAATAGTATGACGGGAAAAAAATTTGTCTGTTCATTCAAATACGCCACTTCTAATCCATTCATCAACTGAGAGGTTGATCAAAATGAGGTCATACGACTACAACTTTTTTCCATCAAAGTGTAGAATTACACTGCTTAATGCTTTTCTGAGGATAGTCGTTGGCCTTTCATAGTGCCTATTACTATGATTTATTATGTATGTAGGTCGCAATCAAAGCCTAATTCCATGTCACCTATCTTTTCTACAAGTGCAATTTCAACATCACCAAGATGCAATATGCCAAAACTATGCCATCAGTAGAAAGGTTACTTTTACAAGAAAACCTCCATTTTATGGATAATATTTGACTCAAATTGGGAAAAAAAGGTATTAAAGTTAGAATACTAGTAAATTATATAAAAGTTAAAAAGTTATATTTAAATATTCCCTTGTGGTTGCATGACAAGTCTACGCTCAGCCAGCATTACTAATATTAAAGTGGATGAAATAGGGGAGAGAAAATGGAAAAACAGATATTTGTGTGGTTGAAAATCATTATAGAAAGGTGTCAATCTTTTATAAATGATTTAAAAAGGAAAAAATGCCACGTAAAATAAGATGTGTTCTTAAAGGAAACTCCACCTAACGTGGCTAACCCGATATTTGCAAATACTGAAATAGTATTATTTAAGGCCAAACTATAGTTTTCTCAGTGCTGCTGAGGCAATAACTTAAGTTAATCTGAAGAAAGGTCATTAATAATTTACTCCATTTAAAAGAAAAAAGTAGTATCAAGTACAACTTTTTCTTCCAGCCAAGACAAGTGGACAGAAGAGAAAGATTGTCCCAACCAATCAGCCCCTACAGCATGTGATTTACTCGTTTCAATACATTTGCAGAGATATCATCATTTTGAAAGAGACATTGGCCAAATGTCAGAAGCTACTGGTTTCATTCAGAACATTACATAATTTAAAGAAAGGAACATAAGTACCGTTTTGATTCGAAAGCTGTCCACTAAACGCACCAATTTGAGCCAAAAGGTTTCCTTTTTGATGAAAGCTTAACAAATAGTACATAAAATCCACATTGGAAGAAAGCCCTGCAGAGAGATTCTCAAGGACACTCCACAGTCTGGAGCTAACAATGAATCCCAATAACCCCTCTAAGCCACTTGCACCTTTTTCAAACCAAATTAGTTTAAACTTCCAATCTTATCATAATGTAAATTAATCTCAGTACATTCATTCATAATCGGATAAGAAACACAAGAAATCAGTCTTTCCTCAGTTCCATTTCTTCTCTACGAATGCCCTACAGAGATTTGAGCCAAAAGGTTTCCTTTTTGATGAAAGCTTAACAAATAGTACATAAAATCCACATTGGAAGAAAGCCCTGCAGAGAGATTCTCAAGGACACTCCACAGTCTGGAGCTAACAATGAATCCCAATAACCCCTCTAAGCCACTTGCACCTTTTTCAAACCAAATTAGTTTAAACTTCCAATCTTATCATAATGTAAATTAATCTCAGTACATTCATTCATAATCGGATAAGAAACACAAGAAATCAGTCTTTCCTCAGTTCCATTTCTTCTCTACGAATGCCCTACAGAGATTTGAGCCAAAAGGTTTCCTTTTTGATGAAAGCTTAACAAATAGTACATAAAATCCACATTGGAAGAAAGCCCTGCAGAGAGATTCTCAAGGACACTCCACAGTCTGGAGCTAACAATGAATCCCAATAACCCCTCTAAGCCACTTACACCTTTTTCAAACCAAATTAATTTAAACTCCCAATCTTATCATAATGTAAATTAATCTCAGTACATTCATTCATAATCGGATAAGAAACACAAGAAATCAGTCTTTCCTCAGTTCCATTTCTTCTCTACGAATGCCCTACAGAGATTTGAGCCAAAAGGTTTCCTTTTTGATGAAAGCTTAACAAATAGTACATAAAATCCACATTGGAAGAAAGCCCTGCAGAGAGATTCTCAAGGACACTCCACAGTCTGGAGCTAACAATGAATCCCAATAACCCCTCTAAGCCACTTGCACCTTTTTCAAACCAAATTAGTTTAAACTTCCAATCTTATCATAATGTAAATTAATCTCATTACATTCATTCATAATTGGATAAGAAACACAAGAAATCAGTCTTTCCTCAGTTCCATTTCTTCTCTACGAATGCCATCAGCATTTAATACAACTATCTCCAGTTTGTCACCCTGCAATAAGAAAGCAAAACATTCAGAAATACAGCTGATAGTGAAAGAATTTATTTCTCTATGATGCCCAGACTCGGGTGTGGATCTAAAGGTCCAATTCTTCATCACATAAATTTTAGGATTCAGAATTATGGATCCAAGTGCAGATACAGGTGGTGGATACAACCAATAAATGTATATTACGACAAATAAAGTATATATTCAGATTAGTTGAAATTACTGAACTAAACCTCGTAAAATTTTCATTGTTTATAAACACCAACATTTTATTCTTACCTCGTGTAAAATAAAGGCATACAAGTGACAAACCCAAAAATCAAAAACAAATATCAATCAATCTATACTTCTCGATCATAGAATGAGATCAAAGTACCCAAGGTAAGTTGATCAAATCTGTTGTGGATCCCGCACCCATGTCGTGTCGACACGGGTGCAGCAGGGATTTGGAAGAGTCCGCGCAAAAGTATATCATAAGAGAAAAAGGGGAAGGAAATTGGAAATTTTCTGGCGCTTGATAAACCGAAGTCCAAGAAGCCAAAGAGTTTGAATTCTAAAATAGATCGCCTAAAAGATATCATACAAATGACTTACAGTGTATATATCCCTTTCTGTTGCTGAAGCAAAGCATGTCTTAACTAAATCAATGGCTTCTGATTCAGAAAGTGGAGTAACAGCATCCTGCAGAGGTCATGGGAACTCCGTTAGCAAATGGCTATATTTTTCTCCTCATTTTTAGGTCAATTTCAAATGCCTTGACTATATGAGAAAATTTGAACAGATAAAATATGGAGCAAACCACAGCAGGCAGCAACAGAGGGCTAGGAGACTTCAGTTGGTTGTCCAAGAAAGGCATGATCAGAGTTGAACCAGAACCTTGAGAGCTGTAGCCAACCCTCTCATATGATCCCACAGCATCATAGGTGAAGACACACCCCTTCCCTGCAAATTTTATGGATTAAATTGTATAAGCTTCTTTACCAGAAAAGACTACAAATAAATAACCTTTAGACAATAGCTAACCCATTACCTTCATTGTCAAGGCCACCTAGAACATTGAACGAATAGTAGGGGAAGAAACGTTTGTAGTATAGTGTGTTCGAAAGAAGCTGGCCCATAGCTGGACAGCTCATTTGCTTATTGTGCTGGTGCTGGTAGATCTATTGCAAAATAATAAACATTAAAAGATCCTTATCCAATATCTCAGAGGAATGTAAATGCTAAACTCTAGACAGCACATGATCCATGATAAAAGAATTACAGATTACCATTTCAGACATCATCCTATATTTTAGTCCCATTAGGGATACTATAAACATACTATTTCAGAAGTAGATAACATGTAAGGTGAAAATCAATATTTAGTTTCTTAAGAAATGAAAATACAACGGAACAAGAAGAATGAAAATTAGATTTGGAAGTAACAGTTGTACCTTAATAGTTAATGCCATATCCCAAGAATGTCAGGAGAAGTTCCTCTATTTGTAATTCTTATTGCAAGAACTATTTCAAATAAATATGATGTACATTTAAGTGAAAACGAGCTTATGATACATGTTTTACACTTTTCCCTGCCCGCTTTAAATTGCCCACATCTATTGAGCCCTAGAATATAGTATAGATGGGTGAGACCATTTCCACTGAGTTTTGAAGCCAAAAGAACAACAGATTTCTCGATTATTGAAAAAAGAACCTAAGATTTCAAGTGTTATTGACAGTGTATCTGTGTTGATTAACGCGACTAAGTGATACAAAACGAGCGATCATGCTTTCTCGAGGGTGAAGAGGAGAAGTGACATTCATACGTCGTAGTAAAATTCAACAATATGTGAATGACTCAGTAAGCATTTGTGTACCCTTTTGAGGTACAATTTCTTCCTTGATATTGAGTTTAGTTTAAATACCACTGACTTTAACTATTTTCAGGGGCTTGAATTGTTTTTCTTTAATTTTATTTTACAACTCAAACATATTTTTAACTAATATTTATGTGACTTTTTAGACTATTTATACTCATCAATAAGGGACACGCACAAGGCATGTACCAAAAACTAGGTTCTGATCATGTCATGCATAATTGGAAGAAAAGAAAAAAAGGGAAGTCGGAGGACCCAGTACACTGAAGCTGCTCCCGTTATGCGTAGGGTCTGGCGAAGAGCCCGACCACAAGGGCCTATTGTAGGCAGCCTTACCTTGCATTTCTGCCGGAGGCCGTTTCCAAGGCTTGAACCCGTGACTCCTGGTCACATTGCAGCAACTTTACCAGTTACTCCAAGGCACCCCTTCAATTGGAAGAAAAGAAAACGAACCTAGTTTATGTATTAATTATAACACCTAGAAACCCCCATCCCCACCCCAATCCTGCCCATAATCATATCCTCTGGCTAAATAATTTTAAAGCTCATGGATCAGATCATGGTCACTGTTCTGTCTCTCTATCACATAATGCACACTCAGTTTCTCCATAAAGTCACGCACATTATGCAAGCTAACAATCAAAATTTTGGTTCTCAACGAGCTAATAGGTTCATATTGCACAAACAGGTGAAGTACACTGAACGAAGATACAAAAACATCCTACATGCTCCATACCAAACTGTCTGAAGAGATAAAGGATTAACAAAAACTTTTAGCATTTTTACCAGATGTCTTGATGCCAAAACCTTTTGCAAAGCTCTCACGTCAGCCTGAAATCCTGACGATGCCATCACACATTTATCCGCTCTACATAATCAGACAGTTAACATGCAAAACTGATATATTAGGAAAAGGTTTGGGTAAAGATAAAAGAAGAGAAACCAATTAGTATCATGACGGAAGGTGAAGATTACATGTATGCATACCCATCTCATTCATTCTCTCATGCTACAATGTATATGAGGACTAAAGGAGATAATAATATGTGGGTTTATTGTTAATCCTGGGAGTGCAAACCTTGCTATGCTCTCATCCTCCCAGGCAGAGGCAGTTAAAGGCAAGTTGGTTTTAAAACCGCTTCACAAAAAGAATTTCTATATGCATGGGAAAGTTATAGTTAGCAAATACAGAGTCTATTTAGTAAAGGTTGAACACATTTTATGCAATTACGAGCCGTGAGGAACTTGATATTGCCTCTTGGCTAAATTTTCTTTTTAATTACTGACTGTGCCTCGTCAAGCAAACAACGAAAACAGCACTGAAAGTAGTTCCATTCGTGATTCATCCAAACAGAGAAATGCAACCCTAGGTTTGCATTCTGATCTTTGACTGCTCCCTCTTTTTCCTCCTCCAAACCTGCTCTCCACTCCCACCCCTTGGCCTAGCCTCTCTCTTCATTGATTTCCTGGCGGCAACTCAATGAGATTTAGTTCTCTTCTCTTTTTAATATATTGAGTCAATAATTATGCTTGAATTGTGATGGTTCTATGTTAGTCTTCTTCTTTAAAATTAAGTACTAATAGGTCAGTTCATCCACTTGATATGAAAACAATAATTGGATAACAATATTCTTTTATAACCAAGAAATCCCGCAAGGCTAGTGGCGGTTTGAATAATTTTCTCACCCCTGACACTCCAATTGCGTAGTACACTACTGTTACGAATCATTATGCTTGGGATAAATTTTACTTTGTGCAGTATAGAAGGGAAATTTTAACTTTCTACCGAAAAAGTGATTGCAATGCATAGAGCTTTATCTATCAAATATATAGATCTATGTATAAGATGTTATTAGCGTACTTCATAGTATTAACCAGCTAAATGGCACAGAAAACAAGTTATTTGAAACAAATAAAAGAAACATACAGTTTAATGATCTTGGAGTAATCGCGAGTAAGAATGTTGTAGCCAGTGGACATGCGAGTATCTGCTGCAATTACACAGTAATCTGCTCCAGCTACTGCCACGCAGGTTCTGCAAAGTCGAAACGGGACCGACATTAAAAATGAAAGTAAGAAAGCAAAATAAGTAAATATTCATGAAACATTACCCGCCATTGTTGTCATAAGGAGACCAGTTAGCTTGCTGCTTCGTCATGGTGATTCGATGGGTAGAGAGAAAGGGAGATCGATCTAGGGTTGCAGAAGAAGATTCAATTTGAAGAAAGAGGGAAGGACTGATGATTCGTCTTCACCAAGTCATCTGACTCTGAGCGGTAGATGGGCTTAGTATTAAAAGGCCCCCGACTGCTTCCTTATTTAGGCCCAGTGTTTTGTATCTTCGCGGTCCATTTAAAAGTGGGATTTTTGGTCCCTCCCCAACTTATTTTACAAAAATCTTTCAAAAACTTAACTAATGTAAAAAAGAGATTTTTTTTTGTGTCATATTTCACTTGAAAAAGAAAAATTAAAGTCTTATCAGAAAATAATCATAATTTCAAATTAAATACGCCTCAAATAAGCTTTTCAACTTCAAATTCTCTATTTCGACCTTTTGAGTTAAAGTTAATATTATACATCGATTTGGGGAAGGCAGAGTTCGCAGGCCTTATGCCTTTACTACTGTTTTTCTTGAGATAAAAAGACTATTTTTGAAAGAAACTCGACTATTATAACATATTTTTAAAATAATATCACAAGTTGAAGTTGGGAAATTCTAAAAAAAATCGGATAGTTACAAATCTAGTCTTAGACAAAACAAAAGAGAGTATGCCGATAACTGGATAAGCATACGTCCATTAGACCACAGCCGAAATAAGTGCACGATATCATTTGTCACATGTCAAGAATCTCCCCCTCCTTTCGAGCATGGCAAAGGATATCAATTGGAGAGTGGAGAAATCCAATTTTATCAACTAACTGTACCTACCAAATCACTTTTCCTATATCTCATCAAAGTTCTTTGAATAAAATGCCTCAATCATATAAACATACCAAATCACTCTTGATACATTTAGGAGGCGTTTGACCATAAATTTTTTTAGTGTTGAACTTCTTTTCAAATACTTTATTATTTTTCACTTTAAAAATAAAAATTATTTTTAATTTTTTTATTTATAATAAAACATGACTAAATGTCCATTATCCGTTCATCCATTTCGAGCAATTCATTTGACCACATAAAAAGCATCCAAGGCCAAGAAGTTTGCTTATGTTATGATTTTTCTTTTTTGAAGATTGTACTTACTACCTCGTATATGTTTGATTATTGTTCACAAATTTTCATGACTAGCTGTCAGTATCATCTTTTATGTGGTCACTAATAATAATAGACCATGCCGGCAAGGAGATCACATTTAGCATCTTACCTAGCTACTCCCACATTCACTAAAAAAAAACCCCGATAAATACAATGTGTAGTTTACTAAACTATCCTGATTTAATAAATGTCTTTTGACAATTAAAAACTATTATGAAGATTAGAGTATAAGGATATATTTGAAAATATATTTTAATTTTTATCATGAATTTCTGAGATGACACTTATTTTGAAATGCATGGAGTATATGAAAAGTCTCAATCAGCACAAAGAAAAGTAATTGAAAGCAACTTACATATATTTGTCAGCCTGTTCTATTATTTTAAGTAGTATCTTAAAAGATAGATCCGTATCCATTGTGCAAAGCAAGTGAAGACAAAAGATCCAGGCTTATGGCATATTGTCCTATACTTACATTTGAATTTTCTAATCTCTACCTAATGCATTTTTAATTATGCCTTATAAAGTGAGAGCATTACTATATATTAGTGATAGTTTATCCTTTCATGTTGACATTAAAATCGAATCAGAATATGCTTACCATATCAATGGAAGACATTCTTCTCCTACTAAGCAAATACTATGATATTCTTCTGGTTTCAATACTTGTCATAAGTATTACTGCACTTTACTTGTCAAAGGGAGCTAAAAATGAAAAAAACTGCATACCTGGGAGTTTGGGAATACCTTTCGTGGGCGAAACCTTTGCACTTCTATCAGCAACCAACAGTGTCAAAGGTTGTTATGAATTTGTTAGACTTCGACGCGAATGGTAAGAAACTCTTTTTGTTTTAAATCCATGAAGTTTTAATGCAATATCAAATCCAGCAATTTGCTTTTTCTATATTGAGAGTAATATATATACTAGCTTTAATTTTATATTGAGATGACAGACACTAGGTCAGCTGTTCCTATGACAAAAAACAGAGAAAGTCCATAGGCTTTCTATTCTATGGACTTTCTATTCAATATTTTCCCAAATGTTTATAAATCAGCATAATAAGTTCCTATTTTATGATAAAAATCCCTCCTCATTTGTTCCTCCAGCATATCAGCTATAGTGTATATAGCAAATTCTGGTAGATTGATTGTTGTTTAACACAGGCATGGAAAATGGTTCAAAACCAGAATTTTCGGGAAGATACATGTGTTTGTTCCAAGTGTTGAGGGTGCGAAAGCAATTTTTACTAATGATTTTGCTCTATTCAACAAGGGCTACGTGAAATCGATGGCAGATGCTGTGGGAAAGAAAAGTTTGTTATGTGTTCCTCAAGAAAGTCACAAAAGGATTAGGCGCCTCCTATCTGATCCTTTCTCTATGAATTCACTGTCTAAGTTTGTCCAGAGATTTGACAAAATGCTATATGAAAGATTGAAGAAAGTACAAAAGGAAGGGAAGAGTTTCACTGTGCTTGACTTCAACATGAAGGTAACTTGTCTATAATCTATTACTCCACTAGTTTTAGTACTAACATATGGCTTGGAACAAATTTAGTCCCTTCCTCTTTTTTGATGTGTTTTGAACAAGATTTAGTGCATTGGCCTGGGCCTTTTGATACAAAAAAGACGTATCAAAAGAAATAGTACCGCTGTGTGCTGCTGCAGTGAGTGTACGTATGCTGACCACGTGAAATTTTGCTGCAGATAACATTCGATGCAATGTGCGATATGCTGATGAGCATCAAAGATTCTTCTCTGCTAGAACAAATTGAAAAAGACTGCACTGCTATTTCTGATGCCATGCTGTCCTTTCCAGTCATGATTCCGGGCACCAGATATTTTAAAGGCATCAAGGTAGGGCACTTGATGATTTGCGACATGTGAACAAAATTTGACTTGAGTAAACAGATCATTAATTATTAAAAGGGAGTAAATAGCTAAGATTTTTCGCTTAATATAAGAGAAATTAATCTATACTACTATAAGATTGTGCTCATCCTCAGTTTCCGTACAGGCACGTGGGAGGCTAATGGAGACCTTTAAGGGAATGATAACAGCTCGGCGCAATGGGAAGGAATATTATGAAGACTTCCTGCAGTCCATGTTGGAGAAGGATTCATGTCCAGCTAATCAAATGCTTGATGATGAAGAGATCATGGATAATTTGTTAACGCTGATAATTGCAGGGCAGACAACAACTGCTGCTGCAATGATGTGGAGTGTCAAGTTTTTGGATGAGCACAGAGGAGCCCAGAACAGGCTCAGAGTGAGTATCCATATATCACAAAGACATTATGCACTTTTATGCTGACAAAATGATTAAATATCCTACTTGTGGCATTTCTAAAGCATAATTTTTCTATTAGCCTATAACATGTAACTGGTGACATTATGTTGAAAAGCACATTTTTTTTCACCCAACTTTGGCTTACATGTGTGAGTATGGAAACTGATAACTCTAATATCTCAAGAAATTTATTCATATAAAACACAAACATGTAGTCAGGTGTATGACTAATAGTCTAATACTACTATCAACTTACAGGAAGAACAGCTTTCAATACTCAGAAGCAAGCCTAATGGAGCCTTACTAACTATGGATGATCTCAATAGCATGTCCTATGCGTCAAAGGTTTGTAGAAACTACATCTTATATAGTCCTTCTTCTTGATTTATTTACCTCTTACTACAGCAAAATTATTCGGTGTTTTTCACCATATTATATCTGCACCAGAATCAGATAAGATGTAACTCTATTTCCTCTATACTTAGGTTGTGAAAGAGACGTTGAGGATGTCGAATGTCTTGCTATGGTTCCCTCGGGTTGCACTTAATGACTGTAGTATTGAAGGTAAGTTTATTCTTAGCACATTACTCCATATGTGGAAAAGTTTGTGACACTGCAATTCCTCTGTTAGTTGGTTGTAATTCCACAGGAATAAGAATCATCTGACAACTAATTTTTTCTGTATGCTCGTGACAGGTTTTGAAATAAAGAAAGGGTGGCATGCGAACATAGATGCAACGTGCATACACTACGATCCAACAGTATACAAAGACCCTATGCAGTTCAACCCTTCAAGATTCGACGTACTAAGTTCTATTGCTTATTTATCTTGGAAAACTTTGAAATGTTATGTACATTACTATTTAACCATGCATATTTTTCTCATATGATCAGGAAATTCAAAAACCATATAGCTACATTCCTTTTGGATCAGGACCCCGTACTTGCTTGGGAATTAACATGGCAAAAGTGACCATGTTGGTGTTTTTGCACAGATTAACAACTGGATACAAGTAAGTAAATCCTTAATTGTAATTTATCAAATTTTCCTTTGATAATTAACTTACATTTACTATCATGATTATTGTATAGATGGACAGTTGACGATCCAGATCGCAGCTTGGAAAGAAAAGCCCATATTCCCAGATTAAGAAGTGGGTGTCCAATAACTTTGACAGCCTTGCAGGATGAATAGCAAACTTCTCCAAATGGGCCCATTAAGAAGATAGATAACAAGTTACAAATTTTATTGTGGAACAATGGGTCATAGTAATTGATAGGAATGGATGATGTAATCCAACTTTTCCGTACTTCTCCTAGTTGATAATTCAAAAGTATGAATATGAAGGGAAAAAAAAAAGTATTCGTCCTGCATGACAGCTACAACGAATTGGAAAATTTGAATAAATGCAAAGAGTAATCATGAATTTTTAACTGATACTATGGATCCGCCCCTATCAGTATTCGTCGAAATTGCGCACTTACAAAATCGAGCATTGTGGGGTGGGTTCTTCCCTACGTGTCACGTGAACGACATGTGGTGATCTCTGACAGCAAGGACAGACTGAGGGCATTAACGGAGGGGGAGGCCCAAACATATGGGCCATGGTCTGGGGGTCGGGTTCGGGTTTGGACCCTTTCTGTTCGGGTTTTTTCGGTCCATCTGGTTTTGGAGGAGCTGGTGGAGGCCCAATACTGATCACCTCCGCAAATTTCCCAGCTTTCCTTGATCTTACAATGACCTCGTATGGGTCAGCGTTCCCCGTTACGCTTAAAGTCCCCTTTGCTCCATCAATTTCTATTTTTTCCACACCTTCAATATCAAATTTTAGAGTTTCAGTTTCATGAATTACACGTTTTCAATTTATAACCAAGGAGGAGTAGGATGATAATTGGTTAAATTTAAATTAATATTGTCATAAATAGCTCTAAATCCTAATTTTGTAGTAACGAATACTATAAAAATGTTTGAAAATTCTAATCAAACAATAATTTGTTGGATTCCCCAAAATTAATAACACTGACATGTAAGATGAAATCAATAGGACACTCACAAAGAGTATTGGATCTAATGTAGACATCTAAGTCATTAGATTTACCCCTAATGACCGTCAATCGTCTTAGGCTTAGGCTTTGCCTATTGGCATAGTTATCACACAAGGTTGTAGTGTAATAGTTTTTTTTTAAAATCTTTAATCATAAGTTTTAGATTCAATCTCTAGCTAGAATGAACTTGGTTTTAGCAGTGAGTGTGTTACCCAAAAATAAAACTTTCCAATACGAATCCAAATTAATCAGGTTTCAAAATGAATACCATGAACTAGGAGTTAATAACTTTGATGGTCACTCAACTATCAACTCTTTTCACAGAAAGTCACTCAACTTTCATTCTCAACTTAAAAGACACTCAACTATGTCTTCTTTGCACAGAAAGTCACTCAACATATTTAATTATTTTTTTCACTAAAATTTTCTGACATGAAATTTTTATTTTTAACCAAAATTTTAAGAACCAAATATATATCCATTTAAACCATTTAATGACCCACCCCATTTAATCCGACCCGCTAAGTCATTAAAAAGTCATCATAACTTTCTTTCGAGCTAAAAAAGTGTTATTGCATATCTAAGTACCCAGCTAAAATGTGATTTAGCGGCTATGCTTAGTAGTTTCCATATCTTAGGTAACAGCAGTGTAAATTAACATTTTTGGACAACAGATGATGTTATATTAAATTCTATTCCTGAACCAGAGAAGATTATACTCAGATGATGTTAATGTACCTATGAGATATGTAACTATATGACACATGCGTCTAATTCAACCCCAAAAACTAGCTTATGAATGGAGGATTGCAGAAGTCCATACAAAAAGACTATCAGTTTCCAACCAATGTGAGACTTTTACACACTTTAACACCCCTTCATGCCCAGGCTTGACTAGAGTGTGGACCGAGAGCCCATACGGGTATGAACCTGACTCTGATACTATATAAAGATATGATGTTTGGGCCTAACTCAACCCAAAAGCTAGTTCATGAGGGGAGGATTGCTCAAGTGATCCATATAAGAGATCACTAACTCATTCTCCAACCAATGTGAAACTTTTACCCACTCAAACAAACTATTTATATACTACACACATAGACATATGAAAGAACATGCTTTAATTAGTTATTATAGATTTTTTGAATAGCAATCCTAATTACAAAACAAAGTTGCAGGGGAATGAATCTCAGTAGCTCAATTGGTTGATTGGCTATTTTAATTCCTACCTTATTGATGATGGTTTGATTTCCACATTGTAGCACTTTCCCTATTTCTCCTTTCCCTACCCCAGTTTTTGAAAGGAAAAAAAAACAGAGAAAGTTGAAGTACCTGGCAGACCTGAAACAGCTTTGAGGATCTTCTTCTTGCATTTATCACAAGAAACATCAACCTTCAATACAGTCTTTTGCACCATCAGCAAGAAGGTCTATTTTTTTTTTTATTATCTATTTCAGAATATATCTCTAAATAGAAAACAAAAACTCGACAATGATTTATGTAAATTCAAAGAAAGCACTAAAACTCAATTGTCTTCTCATTTATGTTCGCCAATAAATGCTTTGGGTTGTTCACCGGCCTCTTCTGATTTTGTTCTCCTATAAATGCTTCCGTCCAAATTCCAATTGTCATTTTCCGTCTTAGAAAACAATGCTATTATTTTAATTATTTTCAACGTTTGATTTTTTCTACTACGTACAATTTTTTCTCCCCCCCTTTATATATTGACTAGATGTTAATTTCTTCTCGAATGTTATATCTGTTAGAAAATAGCATACACAGCGGAAGCATTCTAGACATCTTGCATGACTATAGACAACAATCACAAATATGTATCACATACAAAATATGCTGAAAATTAATTCAGGATTACCTCTTGAAGGGTGTGCAGATATTTTGAAGTAAATCCGACTCCAGATCTACGGCCTTCTAAAGTGATCCCAATTAACAATTCAACTCTCTCAATATTTGGGTGGGTAAGTATCATATAGAATACTGAATTGTCTTTCTATGTTAGAAGAATCCTTACTTATAGAGATGTCTTCCTAGTCCAAAGAGGAGAAGAAAGTATAAATCTTTTTTCTTCAAGAAAACCCAAAACTCACGCTTCTTTCTTGGAAGAAATATATACGTTACTTTTTCTTCTTCTACTAGAAAATAGAATTCTGAGTTCTAGTTAAATTGGACACTGGAGGGACCACATAATTTATTACTAAGACTTCCTATTATGGAAATAATTCCAAATAATTAATTTGAATTATTCTTACCATAATAAATTACAAATCATTCCACTAAAAATTCGTAATTGCACTCCTATATTTATATTTTGAAATTCACTATTAAACACTTAAGTAATTTCCCATGTTAAGATTACATATACTAATCAATAAATTAAATTACTGACGCATTCAATTCAATGATTAATTTCCTTTAGAGCAATACTTAACTTATTTCATGTTCCAGATTCATAAATCTACCGGCCGGGTTTACACATGAAAACTTATAAGTTTCTCATAAAAAGGTGTATCATCAATCTCTATATTGAGATATGAATTCCATCAACTAACTAATTATTTCACCAATATATATTATCATCATCCAATCTACCAGACATATTGACCCATCTCAGAATCTCACCTTTTAATAAATCAAAACGATAATTAATATATACAGATCATAATCGTTATATCAAGATTAAAAATATAAGTACATTTAACAGTTTAGAGAATACGTTTTTATCAGTCAGTCTAAAACATCTATCTCTGCTCGGTCCCATTCAATACATACAAAATGCACTAGCACGAGAAGTTAGAGTTATACTATTCTCATAATCAAGATAAATTACATTTAATCTCGTGCTACAATCTTTCTGATGGTTTTGTCCAAATTTCCATCTACGATTGTGAACTATAACTTTTAACTTATAAGAACCGATGATTTAATCTTCTGTGTATAAGCTTAAACTATATACACCAAATCATCTACTATATAAGTTAAGGACACGTATATGACAATTGATCTATTTAATGTAACACTTTATTGAATTGAATAAATGAATAAATAATTGTTCAATAATAATACTATATCAAAACGCATGGTTAATAGTATATCCTAACAATATCATCTATGTAACAATATGGACTTAGCTCGAATCCAATTAGTCAAGTGTCGTCATATGTTGAACTCAACAATCAAAACTATTTGTTACATTTTTTGGGCGGAGGAAAATGAAAAGTGAGAAAAACTAAAGAATTAAGATGACCAAGCTTACGGCAAAAAATTAAAATCCCCATATTCACACGGTAATACGAGATAAAGTTGAAATTACTAACTATTCGAGTATATTGCAACTTTAATACTCCCAAAACATTTTCTCCTACAAATTTCACCATCAAGGTCAATTCATCCGTTGTGAATTGTGAGTGAGTACTTCACTTGGGCCACAATTTGAGGAGATATTGTTGGTACAGACACTGAGTGATAGTCTGATAGAGGTCTCCTCTATAGTATGAATAATACCAACATCTTGTGAAACTGTGAACCCAGGCCGGGTAGCTACGAATATATATAGACTGATTTAAATAATAAATTATGTGAAGTGATAGATGAGGTCTTTCGGAAAAAACAACTTCTCTACCTCGTGGAAGTAATGGTAAGGTCTGCATACATCGTATCCTTCCAGATCCACTTTGTGGAATTTCTGAAAATGGACAATCTTAGCGTGGTAGATATCATATTAACTAGCCGCCCACATGCATTTGAGTTTGATTGTAAAGAGCCATGCACATTGCATCCTCATAAACCTCATTCTAATTGGTCCATACCCCAATTACAACTCGTTGTTTTAATAGTAGTACGTAGAATGGGTGGCACGGACGGCCCAAGCGCATTCTATGGCAAGAAACAAACAACATGATTGCTCAAAGCATTATGTGGGGATAAGCAAAAGCCTGAAAAGGAAGGGGGCCGGGCATTCCCTCCAAGGCCTGATTAAAAAATAAATAAAATGAAACACTCTCTTTTCGTAGCTCTTTGGTGGATCACTTCTATGTATTAGCTTATTTAATTTCATCCTTCCTCTTTGTGCGGTCTAAAATTTCTTTTACTAATCACTACGCCATCACTTTATTTGTTTATATACTAAAAAAAAAAATTATTCATTTTTACTTGTTCAATTAAGAAAAACAAAAGATAATTTAATACTTGAGTTCTTTTTCCTCAAAATATTGGATTTATTATAATGAAAGGGTTATATAAAATTATCATTTTATTTATTACTTTTTTAAAAGGGTGTCAAGTCAATACTGAACAAGTAAAAATATAGGAAGGGACGGGGTACTACTTAATTGGTTTGTCCATAACTCACAACTCAAATAACAATTTCTCAAACTTCACTAATCTTGTCCTTCCATTCACATCAATTGCTACAGAAAGGACATAGTACTCTGCACCTGAGTTAGGACTAATCATGGCCACCGCATTATAAAGTGCGTGCTTGTAGATAACAAAAAAAAAATGACATCTCTAATTACGATTATCTTTTTATCAAAGATAATTAATTAATGAGCCTAGCAAAAAGGCCAGAAGCAATATTAGAATCTCTATCACCCCCACCCCAATTCAAAGATGCAATTTTTTTGTTATTTATAATCCCTCAAATGACACGTGTAGACACCCAGGGATTGCAGAACTTGGTAGAACATTGTTTAGTTTACTACCCCTCCACTAAATACATTGACAAGCAAAATAAGAGTTTGTGGTAAGTTGAGTGTCTAATCAAATGTCCAGGACAGAAAACACTATAAAGCGCGCAACATGATGAGAAACCCACTTGACAGCCACAACACTAGGCCTTATTGCCCATTCAATTTGCTCAGAGTCAAAACACAAGGACATATATATGCGCAAATAAGGCAAGGGTCGGGCCACATCAATGATGAATGATTGCTTGCTTAATCTTGCACTAATTAAGACATGTTTATCGATACATCATTTTTGGGGTTAACAAGTGAGGTTCCTTCTATTAGGACTCATAGTCCATGTACTTGTAGGACTCTATAATCTGTAATTTGTGTTGTACTAGGTTACCTATTCCCCTTTGTATTCATTATATATATATGAACAGATATGCAACCTCGGCTTATTGAGCCTTTGATTACTTCTCTGTACATGGTATCAGACGTTCAGGGAAATCTAAGAACAAATCAATAGTCCACGACTTTCTTTTCTGTCCCATTAGTTTCTCCGATAATATGGCTTCTCAGTCGCTAGCTTCCTCCTCTTTAGATGTCTCACTTCCTTTTTCTACAGCAGACACTACATCTACCCAATCTACATCTGTTGTTTCATCGGGATCATCTCCCTCATCCGTTTCAATTCCTCCTCTGCCTTCTTTTTCTCATTCTCTTCCTCTCCACACTGTTGGGCCAAGTATTCTTCTAGCTTCTTCTATAGGCCAGATTAGCCTACCTTCGTGTATGCCTTACGCTGGAACAACAGAACCAACAATTCCATCTCACTTCCACTCTGTCGCGGCTTTGGCAGTTCCCAATATCACTAACTTAGTGACTATAAAACTTAATTCCGTTGAAGATTATCTTACTTGGCGTACTCAATTCACCTCCTTGTTGATCTCTCATGAACTTCTTGGCTTTGTGGATGGCTCTACACCTCAACCCACTCAATTTTTATGTAATGTCTCTGGCAATCAGCAAGTTACCCCACTCTATCGTTCATGGGTCAGAGTTGATCAAAGTGTACGATCTTGGTTATTTGCGACATTGTCTCGTGAGGTCCTTGTTGATGTTCACTTGTTACCTACCTCGCGTGATATTTGGCTATCCTTACATAGACGCTTTATGGATGCTAGTCAGGCCAAATCCATAGAACTTAAGCGCCAACTAACTACAATGCGCAAATCTGAGTCTATGACTATTGATCAATATCTCCGAGAGGCTAAGACGATAGCAGACTCCCTTGCAGCAATTAACTCTCCTGTTTCCTCTCAAGATCTTATTGATCATGTCCTTCTTGGGTTAGGAAGGGAGTATGACACACTAGTCGGTATCATTACTCATTTTCCCGGCCAACTATCTCTTGAAGAACTTCGCACCAAACTTTTGCTTCATGAGCAAAGGTTACAACGCTTCAAAGAATTAGATTCTGGTGTCTCTCATCAAGCCTTTGCTGCTCAGAATGTATCCTTGAATTCCTCTTCTGCATCTCAAGGGAGTCGTGGCAAAGACCGGTCTTCCTCGTATAGAGGCAGGGGTCGTGGAGGAAGAGGCCGAGGCTTATTTGGTGGTCGCAATCAACAACATTTTACTTCATCCAACTCTCCACGTAATAATTTTCAGGAGCAGTCTTCGTCAGGTATGGGTAGTGTTTCTCCTATTCCTTATAATTCACAATCTTCTAGCTCAACATCACCATCCTCGGAAGTCTTAGGAGCGCACCCGTCTTCTACCTCTTGTCAAATTTGTGGGTATCCTGGTCATTCTGCATTACAATGCACTAATCGTTTCAATCACGCTTTTGTTGCTAATAATCTTCCTAAGTCTTTTGCTACTATGTCGGTTGGTGAAACAAATGATGCTACTTGGTACTTTGACTCTGCTGCGTCTGCTCATATGACCCCATCTGAAGGTAATTTTTTGCG